CTTACACATAACACATAATGACATAGTAACTTTTAACAGTCAAATGTATACCGATGAATAGAGTAAACAACCAGAGACGTACAGCTCTACAAGTAACTTTTTTGATTTGATAAGCTATACGTACTGTACATACTGTTATTGCCCCTAGTACCTAGAAAAGCGTAAACATCCTGAGATTTGTGAAGTGTTCGGAAGCTTATCATTAAAAGTATTCCACCTTGACACGGACTCCACAGACTGTTGTGCTGCTGTAATCTCCACTCGAGCTGCCTCAGACCGCCGCTCTGCCGGACTGCGCTAGACAGGGGTTAAAAGGCAGAAAGCTGCTTGTTTAATCAACTCTGAAGTACCCGATGCCCTGCAGACGTATTCTGTAGTGAGCAAGAGAAAAGCTGTGTGGAGGTGAAAAGAACGAAACGCAGCTTGGAATCACAACCGCACTCTCTCTGATTCTACACGCGCCTATGTGCCGCCCAATCACCGTGCAAGTTTAAAGTTTGAGGTGCTATCTATCACGGGGACAGCGAGGTCATTCGGAGCAAAGTGCGAGAGAAAAAGAAAGCTTGAGACGTAGTGGATGAGGGGAAAATAAGAGAGATGAGCGATCTAAATGGAGGCTTTATGAAATCGCACGAAGAGTGGAAATAGGGAAATTTTTAGCAGTTTTGAAACAGATGGTGAACAATGATGAAATGATTAGGCTTCAGCTCATAATCAGCCCTTCTTTATTCCTCTCTGCGAGTTCTCAGAAAAGCGTCCACCGGGAAATGGATCCATTTTTACGGTGAAGGCAGCATTAACGCTCATTGCCATGGATTATGTAGTGGACAAAAGATCCTTATTTATAATCTGCTATATATGACTAAGCTCACACGCTTTGCTGTATTCAATTTTGATGTTATTGCCTAGTGCAATCATCTTCATGCCATAAACGAAACGCCATTCAAACTTGATGGAAACAAATAAAAATGTTGTTTGCATTAAACTCTAAAAGCCTGTTCAATTTTGGCACTACGGCCTGAAGTGGCTACTCTCATTATCTTGAAGCCTCGGTATAACTCTATAAAAGTTTCTGTGCAGTGGGTGCCATCATGATTTATATGGCTTCATGCCACTGAGCGCTGAAAACTATGGACTCCGAAGTTTTGTTTCAGAGCTGAGTTGTTGGCAGTTTCTACAGCAGCAGAATCCCAAATAAAGGATCAGAAGTTGATTGCGGATGTCAGTCTGTTGGAAAGGTTAATAATATATAGTTTATTTATGCGCCTCAGCTCTTAAATCTTGTATAGGGTCTCAGCTGTATGCCCGCGCCCTGTCTATTAGGTGTTGAACATGGGGAGCGGTTGTGGTGGTCATGTGCCCCAGCCCATGACTGGAGCTGGAGCAGAGCTGAGTGGACCATGAACAAGTTGTGTGATTACACCCTCCCACTCAGAGCAGCTCTGTGGGCCGTGAAAGTGAGGAGCAAAACACAGCCTGCACTAAATGAGAAATGTCTGTTTTTTTTGTGACGGCTGTGCTGAGATCAGCAGTCGGGTGTAGAATGTGTAAAGAATAGCTCCTATTTGTTTAGCTGAAAGCATCAGCGTGAATAATCACAGGAGAGCACAGGACATCCTGCTCTATTGATCCACGTGGCACTAATAAATACAGCAGCCATAATCCTTCTTTCAGCTCATTCTGGTACAGTATCAGGAAGATTTCTTATGCAGTTCATACTCAACTCTTTTACCTTCAGGCTTCAATGTGCAATTACTTTGTGTATTGAACCAATATTATTGTAAACGGTTAACTTTATTCAGAAAAGTCATTGTGGATAAACATCTCGAGGCATTTCCCTGTGACATGGGCAGAATAACCATAAGTGCATATTTGTTTTGAAGTGGACACACAGCCGCGCGGGTCAGATCTCCCCCAGGGGTCAGACCTGGTCCTGGTTCTGGGTCGTGCTATGACCGACAGCGACTGGCTCCACTTAAACACAGCTCAGTCCGTGCAGCTCTGTGCTCAGTATAAATGAGCTCCCGAGGGAGAACACGTCTCCTGTCGGCCTGCTCCGGCTCACACTAATCTGAGGCTTGGGCTGGTGCACATCCTCATCACACTTTTACCCGGAGTGATGGCTCTCAGCTGCCTCTGTCACGGCCCTCTGCAAGCGCTGCCGTCCTCAACTCTTTGGCTAGGAATTCCTGGATTATCCTCCATGTTCTCACTGTGGTGTAGAGACAATTGCATGGACCTAAATGTTAAAGAAAAAGACTAAAGAAATGGTCGTTCTCACTCACATTAATCTACAGTAACAGAGTTTTGAGGAAAGGCTCTCACATTTCCATAGACAGCGCTCTTCCTCTGCACTCACACTACAATCTGCTCCCATTCAGAACTAAAAGGGCCACATCCACCTCAATCCGCCTTCTAAACAGCTGATTGGGGCACGGCCTGTTGCGGCTGAAGCAGATTATGATATGATTCCTGTATTTTATGCTGCATTTCTGCATTTGTATTGTATTTGTATTTTTTTAATATTTTGTGTGTCTGTGTTTTATGGATCCCCGCTGGTGCTCCGTCTGCAAGTTCCCCACGGATAAAAAAAGTTATTTGAATTTGAATTTGAATGTTCCCCACATGCTCTTTTCAGCACGAGTGTTGTATCTGGAAAGAAAAAACTAAATATAAACAGCTATAAATTGCTGTATCTATCCCCTCGAGTGCTCGTGCATGCAGAGAGTGTTGTTCCCGCTGTCCTTAGTGGTTGTGAAAGTAGTTTTATCACGCGGCTCCACTTTGCGCCGGATAATTACATAGAGCCAGAGTATTTTACAAAGATAAATCTGCAGGCGCCTCCAAGAACGGGACTTTTTTTTATCTTGCACTTTTACAGCATATTTCACCGAGATTACACTGATTACAGCTCGCTACTCGTGCGCACAGAGGCTGCTGCAGGATTTGGTTGCCCGACGTGCGTGTGGAAGCGGCGAGGGGGAGATAAGTGATCCTCTGTCTCCTGTGCAGCCAAATGTTGTATTCAATGTGCTGATTCGCTAAATGAACAACAAAAAGTGTTTACTAGCATTTCTAGTCCTGCTGACAACACACAGCTGCTTAAGCATTTTTGGGCGTGACCTGCATTTACACCAGATCTCACAACAATCGTTCCATCAATTCACTGATGTCCAATGTTTGGGATTATAGTTGTATCCAGGCATCTTTATTTATACAGCACCATTTTACAGACCAAGAATTAACAGCTTTGTGACGGCAAGTGGAGGAATCATTTTTGGAGATGACTCCCTGTGGGTTTTTATTAAATTTATGGTTCATATGAAGTGTTTGGATACAGCAAAAAGATTGTTATAGAAGAATTGTGTTGCGCAGCTCCACCTTAAATCCCTTTGTGCTTAGATATAAATAAATGAATGAATAGTGCTACAGTTGTCTGTGTAAATAGCAAAGGACATGGCCAAAAGGTGAGAAAAGGTTATTTATGTATTCATTTTTGTAGGGTATTTCCTCTTTAACTGTATCAAAAGGACTAGAATGAGCCAACTCCTCTCTTGGGCAGCTCAAGTTGTTTGGAAGCTTTATTTTGGGACTTGTCACCGTCATGATGCGCCACATTTCCACGGCTTCAGTGCGTTCTCTCTGAGCACGCCCTGGAAAAAAAGTGTGGGGTCAGAGGAGGGCCTGTTGCCAGGTTGTTTTGTCACAGCAGCTTCTTATAAGCTATACATACGTTATTTTTGTGTTGTAAAACAGCTTGTGAGTGAAAAATATTTCTTTGAAAAAACTACAGTCGGAATATATCTGTATAGCTAATACTGACACATGATGAATACTGTTCCTATTCAAATAAATTAATAATAAATAAACTGTTACAATCTCTAAACACAAGCACATGCATATTTAGTTTAATCAAATTGTTTGTAAAATGTCTGTGGTGAGAGAGCGTGTGGCTAAAACATGAAGTATAACCTCGGAAACAGCTTCCACATTTACTCCCACTGTTTACAAATCAAGTGACGCAAAGAAGGCAAGAACCATGTGAAAAAGAAAAATCACAATCTAAGCTCAGGTTTTCACAAACCGAAATAAGTATGAGAAGCATTGGAATGTTTTAAAGCCTGTAATCTAAAAGTATTCATGCCTGTATTTTGCGATTACAGGTGACACTTTGAATTACTTCTGTAAACTTTATCAAGCCTTTTATTGAATACCACAAATAACATCTTGAAAATTGAGAATGGACTTTATGCCAAAATCATCAAGATTATAACAAAGGCTTAACATTTGTTGTAATCAGTCAGTATCATGGTTTGGTTTTACTTTGAGTAATAAATAAATTGGCTTTTAAACGATATTCTAATTTCCAGAGTTTCTCTAGTATCGACCGCTATTGACCAATACGAAACTTTAGGACGGATTATAACAGCTCTTTCTCAGCGCTGGTCTGGATCCGGGAGCTGTCACACGCAATGCTCAACATAAATTTGAATGCACCACTCACTCACAAGTGTTTCTAATGCACTTCAAAACAATAACCGTACATGGTTTGGCATCCCACAAACTGCAGGTTCCCGGGTTGCAATGTTGGCCCGTCCCTCTCTGCGATTCTCCAGACTGTGGGGAAGGGGGATAGAATAATGCATACGTACTGTAATATAATGTATGTGAAGATGGTGTGTGTATGTGTGTGTGTTTGTATTGTGTTTGTATCAATAAAGATAAAAAAAAATAGAGAAAGTGATAAACTGCTTAATATTGTTACCATCTGCGTTTCCATTGTTCTTACATTATTATTAATATTATTTTTTAATTATTTACCATTCTTTGTCTGCACATGGTCGGAATTGATGCCTCAGATTAGGATTTGTCACATGCAACACACACACACACACACACACACACAACGATGCAACAACACACTACTCTTACTACCGTTTACTGAAAGATAAAACATACAGTCGTTTTTATGTTTTATCTTTCTCCCTCTTCCCCGTCAGCTCTACCACAAGCTGCAATGCGACGACCAGCCGGTGTTGGAGCACGTGGAGCAGCTGCTGGGAGAGCTGGGAGGAGAGCTGGAGGAGGAAGAGGAGGAGGTGGGACCCGATGAAGACTTCGATCCATGCAGCGATGATGAAGAGGACGACGGAGCCCCCATGGAACACTGACCACTCCCCTCCGCTTTTTACCCGTGATTACTTCTCCTGTTGCGGCGTAAATCTGTGCGTGTCTAAAGGAGGGATGTCCAGATCCGCGGGTCGATAACTGTGATTTTTCAAGTCACAAAGTAATCGCAAGTTGAAAGAAATGCGTTTTTAGAAGCAAAATTAAGTTGTTTTCCCATGAATTTACAGTCGTGATCATAAGTTTGCATACCCTGGCAGATGCATTTGGTCACATAGTCAAAAATACAGGTGTGGTATATTGCTTTTCAGGTTTTTTTTACTGTCTTGAATCAGTATTTGTAAAGCCCTCTGATTTCAAGCTCAATAATATTTGATCTCATTTCGAAATTGTGAAATTGAAATTTTTTGAAGTAAGAAAAGCGTGTACATGTCTGGATTGAACGCTATTTCCATGGAAGTATATTTACACACGATATAGTGGGACATTCAAACCAAAGGATAAAGGACAAGCACGTTTGCTTTTATTAAGGGCTCAATGATTTTTTTTTTTACAACTTTCAGTGCCATGACATATGTAAAGAAGGTCCAATCACCAGAGAGATTGCCAAAACTAATTCGACGGCATTACTTGGTGTAAGGAAGAATCCTGTTATACCTGACATCAGCGTGGATGAGGGAACAACGTTGTAACACTTTGAAAAACTCAGTAAAAGTCGAATTCCACTGACAAATCTTCGGACAGTCTGGGCCAAAAATGAAATTGTCTGCGAAATGATCTTTATACTACAGTAATCCCATAATTAATGTGGACATGACACGATTCTATTCTGTAATGTGATCCATGGCCCCCTGTGGCTCTTTAGTAAATATAGTATTCATATGAAATCCCTTTGTGCCTGGACATACATAAATAAATGAATAGTGCTACAGTTTTGTGTGTGGAAGTAACAAAGCTGAGAAAAGTCCATTTTAACACGATTTCCCCTTTAACTGTATCAAAAGGACTAGAACGAGCTAACTCCTCTCTTGGGCAGCTCCTCTACAGCTTACATTTCAGTGCTCAGACATCCCCTCTTCTGAAAACTTAAAGTCCAGATAACACTTTTGAGTCAAGACGATTGGTGGATGCCTTTGTTTTTTCATCGTAAATTATTCAGATTAAGATTAAGAGACGCTTTATTCACAGCGGGGGAAATCTCAGTGCTGCATCACCAGTTACATAACGGTAGGAATGAGGAGCACACAACACAATATAAATTAACAATAACTCTATACTAAATGAAATAAAATAAAAACTCTAACTTGAGCAAAAAAAGAAGCAAGTATAACATCTCTAGCTTTAGCATAATAAGGAAGCAAATCCAAAATCTCCACTTCTAGCATTTTGAGTGAAAACTAAGTACAAATCTCTGACTTTAGCATAGTAACAACAGTAAGTCATCTCCATCTTTGACAAATTATTTAAAAAAATCATGACGTTTTCTTTACAGCAGTTTTAATCCTGAAAAATGTATAATCGTGACGTCTCCACAACCTCCAGTGACTTTCCTTTCCGATTGTGCCGTCGCATCCGTCAAAGCTGAAGTTCGGACGCCAGGAGTGGCATTAAAAGCTCAAGCCGACTGCAAAAGAGAGAGCGTGGTTTGTTTAATGCTTTCGCTGAAGTGAGTGCAGACCCTTGTAATGCCAGCCTTAATCTGCCTGACAGATGTTGATGACAGAAATTAGTTTTAGAGCTTTACTTCTTAGCGGCAACCAAAGCAAAACACTCCAAATCCTTTTACCTCTCTTACCTATTTTTAATGTTCTCCTGTGCCAACCGGATTTCTTTTATAATACGTTTGAATGGGATCCAGGCTGAAAGCGCCGCGCTAACTTTTTGGAATTCCTTTTTGTAACAATGGAGTCAAAAGCAAGAAATTGATAGCTGCATAAAGGAGCATGCCTTTTTTTGGCTCCGCACACAGCGCTTTTCGAGGGGAAGGGCAGAAGGCCATCGAGACATTTCGGTCGGAAAGAAAGCAGAAACAGTGTTTGCACTTGCAATAATGGACCAATGCTTTTAAAACCATTTGGAATTCATTCTTAAAAGCAGCATGGTGAGGAGAAAGCTGCTAAATGTCAACCAGGAAAACAAGTTTTTTTTATATATATACATGTATATAAAATCTCAAAAGCAAAGTTTATTCAAAGGTGAAAAGGCAAAGAACTGAATATAAACTTTTGAGGCGCAGTGTCTGTCTCCATGGGGATGTTATTACTGGGGCTATAATGGTGTTCCACATGGCATGAATGACCTTAAACATGACATTTGCAGAACTAATAAAAGGCTATTTAGTCGTGCCACGGGCGACGGTTACGGGCAAGATCTGGGAGAAGGCGACCACACTCATGAGGAATATTTTAAATGTTGAGGTTTTTCACTGTAAAACTCAAATACTATACTACTACTACTACTACTACTTTTACTATAAAACATGGGAAGTAAGCAGTATAATCTATATCTAGTTTGATCTGTCACAAGGAAGATCACATTTGTAGTCGTCTGAAGTGGAGTGAGGGGATTGGTTTCAAATGTATTTTTTAATTTGTCACACCTTCAGGCAAATCAAGTTTATTTGTTTAGTACAATCCATACACAGGGCAACTAAAAACTTTACGGAAAATATGAAATCACACACAGAAAACATGTCTGGTCACAGTGTATTTATTAATTAAAAAATATGTTTCTATGTACCCTAGCTTTAAAGAACAGTTCAAAATGGGTTTTCCTGATGAATAATTGTTTTATGGTGCCATTGCCACCAACAGAACCAAAATAATGTATTTGGTAGAATAAACTAAACTAAGGACCTGATTTCAAGGTTTTTGGGGGCAGCTTTTCCCAGTCAAAAGATGAATTGATTAATAAATATTCAAAGCAATTTTGCAGCTTGAAAGCCATGAATTAACTGAAAGCTGGTTCCCACAAATATAGTCTCACATGCAGGCATATGTTAATTTATCTACTTAGATTCCCTTCGCTCGACATTGAAGGCTTTTTGCACAAAGACGCAATATCTGATGATTTTTGTGCTTCTTTAATTAGTAAACAAAAGCTCCCTCTTGCGTCTGTGACATATCATTTGTATATTTTAGATCCTCAAAGTATTTGCCCAAGTGATAGTGCATACTTCAAGAACATTTTCATTTTGCATTACTGGTGGTGTGTCCTCTTAACATGAAAAATAAAAAAGAACACAATATGTTCCAATTATATGTGTATAATCTTGCTTTTCACTCCAGCAGCTCAAAACGGTCTTTTTCCAATACCCTCCGGCTGCATCCAAATTTTACTAAAATGCATCCTTGTCCTTCACAAGCAAGAAGGTCCTGTGTTCGATTCCACCTCCAGACATGGCCACATCCTTCTGTGTGGATTTTGCATGTTCTCCCTGGGCCTGCGTAGGTTTCTTCTGGGTGCTCCCGTTTCCCCACAAAAAAACATTTACAATAGGAATTAATGTAATGAGAGAGTGAACCGATACGAACAGTAATAAATTGCATATAGATACAGAAAAAGTCACATCGTAGACAAAAACTTGCATACGCTGAGTAATCACACTGCAAAAAATGATAAAATATGAGGTTAATAATAATTGCTTGTCTGTTTTTAAGTATCCATCCATCTTCTTCCCCTTAATCCATTTCTGGGTCAGGGGGGTGGCAGTTAGAGCTGCACCCAGTACACAGAGCACCTGCCCCTCACTGATCCTCCTGCAGGTGGTGAGTCCACAGGAGCTGAGATCTTTCAGTGGGGGCTTTAGGCAAAGTGGGGTTAAGTGTCTTGCCCAAGGACACAACGACAGCAGACATCAGTGGGAGTTGTGAAGTAGGTCTTACGGTGGGCTCAAACCCATGACCTTCAGGCCCAAAGGCCAATGCTCTACCAACTGAGCCCTTGATTTTAAGTATGTTCCGTCTTAAAACAAGATTAAGACATTTGGTGTTATTTCAAAATATTTTATTTTTCTTGTCCCATTGGCAAATGTGCTCGGATTAAGATACACATTGCCAAATTTGCGCAATTTTTGACTTATTTTACGTCACTTTTTGCAGTGCATGACAGTAACCTAAACCGCACTGCAAAAAAGTGATGAGGTAATAATTGCTTCCAATAATCGAGGTGTTTTATCTTATTTTGAGGATGTTCATGTTTTATGGTATTTTTTTCCCAAATAACTATGGTTATACTGTTTGTGAAATGCTTATTGATTAATGTGTGACTGCAAAAGAAAACCAATAAAATACAAATTACAAAAAAAATTTAGGATGTTCTAACAGTCTTAAAACAACATTTGCCAATGGGATAAGCCATTTAGCAGAACTGCTTTATTTTCTCATTCCAAGGGAGACATTTCATTTTGCAGTAACCTAAACCATGACAGTAACTTAAACAATGACAAACACAACATGAAATGCGGTGGTTCAAGCTTTTCCCTCATCCAGCAGAAGCAGTCCGTGTGGCTCAGCGTATGATAATGGTGCGGAGAGGAGAGCTGAAGGACTGGGTACCTGGGGCGCGGCTGTCACGCAGCATTTGCCTTTGTAATTAAACAGGACTGCAGTGTTGTCTGTGTGTTGTTTGGTTGTTACACTGTGCTTTGTGATGAATGGCTGCAGGGGCTGAGCCGAGCGGTTATTCTGAGCTGACCTCACACTGGACACGTGGGCCGCGGGTGATCTCTCTCTCTCTCACCTGTGCATCAGGGCGGGCTAGCGAGAGAGCGCGGCGGGGGGAGACGTCAGAGTGGAGAGTTTGGAGACAAGGGCACTTTCATGTATACAGGCGCTGTATGAGAGCTCGCTGCGAAAGCTTTCATACACCTGTAATAGGCCTTGAACACTTATTTAAAGGTTACCTATAATACAACATTCACTTTTAAAAGGAGTTTAAAATTGCAAAGGATTTTCTCTCATTTTATTTGTCATTTGCAGTAAAACCACATTGGAATACAGTTGCAAATGTCCCCAGAGTGCACAAGACAAATAAATAAAACAAA